CTCCGTCCGGCCCGGGCTGGGGGACCCGGCTCCGGCGGGGGGGTCGGGAGGGGTGCTGGGGGCTCGTTTCGCGGTCGCCGTTACTTGTGGTTTGCTCCGTTTTCCCTTCGTGTCGCGGCGGGGAGTGCTGGGCTTTGCCTTGCGCGGGGGCGTACACCCGGGTCTCCACCTTGCGCGTAAGGCGGCGTTTGGTGCGATGCTGTTTTGGGGCAGGACACCCCCGGGACACTGCCCCGGCGGATATCCCCCCCCTCGGTGCACTGCCACAACAAACACCGCTCCCCCACTGCGGTCCGTGTTCCGCGGGGCACCGCGCTGCCCTGCGCACACCCCTGCGCGCATCCCCGGCCTCTGCTTCTTCCCAATCCGCGTGGGCATCCCGTGGGTCAGAGCCACGCACCAGCAAAGAGAGGGATCGGGGGCTGGAGGCAGAAAACCACTCATCCACCCGTACGAGGGACATTTTCATAGGGAGAAGCTTTAAAAATGCCCCTGCGCGCTGTCGCGGCGCTGCCGGCGCTGGGCACAGGGGAGCTGCGCCCTTCCAGCATCTCACACCGCCCCGGCGATGCCTCTTCGCCGCCTGATGGGCACTCTTGGGATGATTTTGTTATTAAAAGTTGTTTTCCTGCAGCAGCTCCCGGTTGCTGGGCTGCGCAAAGGGGGCACCGGGTGAAGGTTGGCTGGCTGGGGCTTGGTTTGGCTAGGATTGCTTTGTTTGGGTTCAGCTTGGCTTGTTTTGGTTGCATTGGTTGTGGTTTCGTTTGGCTTGGTTTGGTTTGGTTTGTCTTGATTGAGTTGGGTTGGGTGTGCTGGGCTTGGGTTTGGTTGGGCTGGGTTTGGTTGGGTTGGGTTTGATTGGGTTGGGTTTGGTTGGGTTGGGTTGCGTTTGGTTGCGTTTGGTTTGGTTGGGTTGGGGAGCCTCTCCCTCTTCTCTTGCCTTGCTACTGCTCTATTTTTCAGAGGGCTTCCCTCTCCTCTCGGCCACAGGTCCGCTTGGGAGGAGATACTTTCATTTTTGTAACAATTCCCAATAATTTATAGACTGAACCTGAGTCTATACAACACTAATAAATCTGAAGAGGTAAAGCTGGCAGAGACTGAACTTCACCGCCTGATATACAGCCCAGGTGGTTTTGCGTTGGCTACAACCCCCGCAGCCTGTCGGGGATGGGAGCCCCTCTCCGAAGGCAGTGACCCCCTCCCCGGCACCCGGGGGGCGACCCGGCCCCGATCCCCACGCACCCGGCGGTGTCCGTCCACCCCTCAGGGGGGCAGTGGCAGTCCTGCTCTCGTTCAGACACGTCTCGTCCTCTTCTTCACGGGGTTGTCACCGGCGTGGCCAGCGCTGATTTATTTATAAGAGCGGTCCCTTCGTTCTTGGGTTATTTATAGCAGGAGGAAGCGGAGCGGTTTATTTGCGGGTTTCCAGCGTTTCGCAGATCCCTGATGAAGCCCCCAGCCTGGGGGTGCGGTGGCTGCGCGGGCGCGGAGCGGCGGTGCTCTCCGGCCAGCCCCACACCGCGCTGCGCGGAGCTTTCCCACGCCAACCCCTCCCGCGACCCGCACACACCGCCCGCGGCCCGGCCGGGGCTCCGTGGGCCCCGCTCGGTCCCAGGTCCGACCCTTCTCTCCACCTCTCCCCGTCCCTTCCCACGCCCACGCAGGTCGCGGGTCCCCCGGGGAGGGGAGACGTATGTGTGTGTCCCGGTGGGGCCGCCGTCCCTCCTTCACGTCGCGGGAAGAGCAGCCGGCTCCGAGCGGGACATCGAGTCTTTGCCTTGGGTCCTGGCCTGGCTGAATGGTGAGGCGTGACGTCAGGGAAGCAGGGCTTGACGTCACACGAGTGGACCCGTGACGTAGCGTCTGCTGGAGAGGGTTGCCAGAGGAGAGGTGTCCTCAGCATCCCGAAACGGAGCGTGTCCGGCGGGGAGGAGAGAGGAGAAAAGCGCAAATCGAGAGGCGACAGCCCCGCGGGTGCGCTCTGCTGTCGCGACACGTGCTGTCGCGACCAGCAACGGGAAGACCCGGGCGGATTTGGGTCTGTGCGGTAGGAGTTCGCCCTCTCCCCAAAGCGTGGAGCCAGAGGATGCCGTTAATTCCACATAAGACATATACGAGATACACACAAGACATATATATATCCGCCCACCTGAGACCGCCGAGCCGTGCACAGGTGTGCGGTAAATGCCTGACCCGCGCCACGGACACGCGTGGGGGGGATGAGGAGGGACCCGAGCACTGCTGCCTCCCGAGAGGGCCGGGAGCAGCAGGGCCGGCCCGTTACTCTCCATTTAACGCCGGTACCGGGGGTGTCTGCCCCAGGGGTCCCCCAGACGGATCCGGGGGGACTTTCGACCCGGGAGG